TTGGTGCTTTGTTTTAATCTGCATAATGCTTTTCATTCTCTGTAATGAGAGATCAACTGGTCTGATTAACAGAAGAAAGGTCACTACTGACAAATTCTAACCAAGGTGATAATCTGAGTCTGTCTTCCACTTTAGAAGAAACGACTGGACTAGAAGATTATGTGCATGTACTCCTTGCTACTCAAGAGTCATCAGTCCAATGCCTCTGCTCCGATCACAAATCACTTAGTTCATATTTACTTTTCACTAGACTAACTTACGTCTTTCAGCTGAAGTGTCTGACATCAAACTGCTCCTCCTCTCAATGCATAAGTATCCATTCTGATAAAAGAACTGTGACTAAGGCAGATTTTATAGCCAAAACAGGTACACGGGCAGGGGGATTTAAGGAAACTTTGCCTGACTGAGACTTCGCTTTCCCTTTCCAACCCTAACTCTGTGGCCATCAACAGTGAGCACATTCTTTTTGATGACTGCCTAAGGGCTTTTTTTGTGACATTCAGAATTCTATGCACAGCTTGCTCCAAAGGGTGTTAAGCTCAATGAACCTCTTTATCTAGAGGGTGCTGAGAGCTATCTTGTTCCTTAGCCTCCCCAGCAGAGTGTACATTTAAAGCTTTCCTCCTTCCCTCCTTTTTTTCCTCCATTTTACATTCTCGCCAAAGAGTCTTTTTAAGGTGAAGGAAAACAGTTACATAAGCACATAAGCAGGAAGTGGGGTGGTAGTGGACCACCTTAGCAATGGAACAAAAAGACCACAAGAGGCAAACTCCCTAGGTGAATAATTAGATTTACAAAGAAATGCACCAAAGTCTCATTCCAAATCCCGACTTGTCACTAACCGTAGCAATATCTAAAAGTCGTTCTCAAAGAAAAATTAAACTTTAGCTTAATGCATTCCAAATAAAGGGAAAAATTAATACATTAACCATAGAATTCAACCTTTACCCAACTTAAGAAAATTACAGATCAGGAGAAAAACTTATTTGTAGTGATTCAGCACTATTTCTATGAGAAACCACAGAATGGGATTGTGAATTTGGCACTAATAAAATGCTCATTAAATGAAAAGCATTAACATGTTAACTTGAAGAGATTCATTCTGGGCTTCAAATTACTAACCCTATAAGTTGTTTGATTAGATGAAGGTCAGATTTTAGTCCAACATTTTTCATTTTGTCTTTTGACTAGTAGGTTAAGAGTCAGCAGACATCTTCCTAAAGTACAGGACATCACTGGGGCAACCTGCTAAGTGGTGGCAGAAAATATTTAGCAGAGAAGTCTCCATGCAAACCTTCCCAAATGTTTTCTCCTTCCAGCCTTGCGCATGGCCCCTGAGTATTCTTCCTTTGTGGACCAGGAGATCTGTGAAGGCAGCTGCAGTAACCATTATACCGAGTGGCATTTTAAAGGTGGAGATATATTTTATCTTTTTTACGGCAAAGCAATGGAACAACCCTCCTATGGGGAGGAACAAACACAGGGCCCTATATGTTAATGACATCAGGTGTTCCAATAAAAATAGCAGTTTCTAAGCAGCTGCATTTTAAGAATATCTCTGAAGGATCAAACAGGAAAAGAGAGACAAAATGTTTAAACACAAATAACTTTGACAATTAAAGAACTAGCATGACTAAGCCATGAAAGAAAAATGAAAAGCAAACAGACTGACACTTGAGCAAATTTAGGCCTCCAAGCATGTGGAAGTACTTTTAATTTTTATTACACCCCAAAGAACAGAAAGGTCTGCAGCCTTTCTGTTGTCTTTCACCTGCTGGTGAAATACTATGTTAAGGTTGCCATTAGATGTATTGCATTCCAGAAGATCCCAAAGACATAAGTTGTAGTCTTCATCAACTGGCTAACCAGTCTCAGAGGCCCTCCCAGCTGTTAGGTGTCTAAAAATTTCACATGCAATCCAATCCCTTCCCATGGCTATCAAAAAACATACTATAGGAGAGGTGACTAAGAGTTTGTTTGCTCTGCCTTCGAAATCCTTTCCAGGTGTGGGATCAGCACAAATAACCTTTATAAACAACAGAAGTAAATGTCACATACCATCACCATTTTATTGCTAAGCTTTCACATACTCTATTCTTGATAATCAAGTTGGTGGCCAACAGTTAAAACCTCACAGTATCCCTGAGAGACCCACAGGTCCAATTTTCTGACAGTTTCTTGTTTTCGAAGCCACCCAAAGTTAATAGTGTTATAGATATACAGCATAAGCTCTTAAGAAAGAGAAAACGAGTATACAAAGGCAGCACTCGTTACTGTTGGCTCAGTGGAATACAGACTTCTTAGGCAAACCACTTTTTTTTGCCCTTAGCTGAGAAAATACTAACTCTGAGAAAAGAAAACTCCCTGGACCACCCTTATACAAGGCATTGAAGTCAAGCAAAGAAAAGTAAAACATCTTTTAAGGCTAAGGGTAACTAATATCTTAACTTTTATAGAAGGGACAAATGAAGACAAATTTAGGAAATATTCTAAGGTATGCTCAAAATGCCAAACCCAGAAAAAGAATTAAACATAGAAAATTAAACACGGAATTACCATATAATCCACCAATTCTACTTCTGCATAAATGCCCAAAAGAAGTGAAAGCTGGGACTGAACAGATATTTGTACACCCCTGTATAAATGACCAAAAACACAATAACCAAAAGGTAGAAGGAACTCACTTGGGTTTCATCAATGAATGAAAGAGTAAATAAAATGTAGCATATACATACATAATAATAAAATATTATGCAGCCTAAAAAGAAAGGAAATTCTGACACATGCTACAACAGGAATGAACCTTGAAGACATTATGCTAAGAGAAATGACTAGTAAAGAGGTCCAGAGAAGCTAAATAACATACTCAAGGTCACATATTAAGTGAGAGACAGAAACAAAGAAATTTAGTTTCTCAAACTCAAATTTCCATACTCCTTTCAATACATAATGGTGAGTTTTCTGTTCATCTCCATGGAAGCCTTTGATGCAACTCTACAGTAGGAATCATTGTGGCAAAAAGAGGAAAGCCCTGGCCTTAGGAATTAGAAGACCTACTGATTAATTCTCAACTTTGCCACATGACATTCGTGGGACTTTCTGCAACTCACAATATCTTTAAGACTCAGTTTCGTCATTGGTAAAAAGTGTATTTTTAAAAAGTTTAGAATACACTCTAGTTTATAGAGTTTGATGATTGAAGAAGACAGTATATGAAAGAGCAGCACAATGTTTAGAACTTATTAAATGAAAATAAATGTTAGAAAGAAAAAAAAGGAAGCTTTTGCAGGCTTAGCATCACCAATATTTTCCCCTGATCTGGCCTTTGTGTGATAAGTGACATTCAAACATCTCTTTCCAGTAATCTCTTTAAAAAACTGACTGCATCTTTGATATGTTTGACATATATTCCGAGTCTAAATCATTACCAGCAGTGAAGATGATGTAATTACTCTGCAGAAAGTTCATCAAAAAAGTTTGAGGAATGCAAATGAAGGTATAGGCCTAACACAGACTTGCACAGAGAAGGAAGAGGTCACAGTTATGGGCATTTGCTCAAAACTCTGCCCAGTCCTTTCTGGGCTATTCAAAAAAATGAAGACCAAGAGCTTAAATCAGCTGTTTGATGGCCCTTGAAAAGAATAAGGACAGCAGCCAAGCCAGAAGCAAATAAAAGGAAAAGCAACAAAGTAGGAGATAAAGCAAGCATAAAGGAATGTGATCAAGGAAACAGGACCCAAATGAAAAGGAGCTGCCTGGAAAGCATAAGTAAATACATGAATAAATAAACACAACATAAATTATACCCATATGCAGTTCATACGCTAGCCCAGAATATGGTGCTTCTTTCAAATACCCACATTTGTCATACTGCCCTCGGGTCACAAAGGGATATTTGGAAGAAGGCAGTTTGTAATTCCAGATTCTTACAGAAAATCACATTTATCATAAGGCCTCACTATAGTATCTGGTTTATTCACTAGGTGCAGATATGCATTTATTTCTGAGATTTATAAAACTGTTTCTGCTACAAAATGTCTCTGGGGTCAGGTAAGGCAGATCAACCTTCAGTGCAATCTTGTTAGCACATCTCACTCCCATGCTCCTTCAACCCAGCCCTCCCAAAACACATTTCACACTTTTCCTTCTGTTCCCATATGTGCCAAACACTACAGTAAATCACTGCAGGGACAGTATATTTTACCTTTTAAAAAAAGTAAAGAAAAGAGAAAAATATGAAAACAAACACTGAATCCCAGCTCTGCCGCACATTAGAATCTATACCAAGTTGTAAATGTACATTACTATTACTGGTAATGTCTGGCAAGGCTTACATCTGGAGCTAAATCAAGTTTCTCCATCTGTTGGGTTTGCCTCTTCCACTCAGCATTAATTTTTCAATTGTTTGCAAGAACAATTTAATAACTGTTGAGAAAATGGAAAATGATAGGCGCAAAGGGAGTGAGGAACATAAGAAAAGTCAGCTTTAGGTTTCCTAATACTGAAAGCACATTCTCTCCATTTACAAACAGCTCACTCCTGTGAGTGTCATTTCCTCAAACCCTAAACCAACTCTATGTATGACTCAGTTTTATCCAATACATATGGCACTCTGTAATTGCCTTGCTGTTTCCTAAGGGACCTAAAATGACTTAGCCTTGCGAGCTCCATTTGCCTTTGTTTACCACAAATAGAAATAGCCATGTAAAGCAAAACGTCAAAGTTCCAGATTCTCATGAGTCATTCTTTGAACCGAGAATGGCAGAAAATATTTTCAGAGAAAAGCTTTTAGGTGGCATATACACAGAAAATACTTTGGTAATAAAGACTACTGAAAAGGTCTTGCAACTATCTTTTGGTAAGAAAATTCACAGAAGAGCACTGTGAGCTATTTCAATGTGACAAAATGAAAATCTCATGTATTCCTGCTTTTCTTGATCAAGAGCAACAATTTCTTCCACTCCTACAGACATCAGTACTTAAAATAGTAATAGTGTTCAACACATTCCACTTAGAAAGGTACAATAAGCCTCAGATGAGCCAAGGAACTCTGAAAGAGAGAAATTTTCATTCCTTACCTGATATTAACCAATGCGTGGGTCACCTTGCTAGCTGCTTCTTTCCACTGGCCTGCATTGGTAGAAAGCCTCAGGACTGTACAGAAGGAAAGAACAAAGATCTGTCAGACCACTGGTATAAAACACAGATATGAGGAATGAAGGCACATCTCAGAATAGCACTATCAGAATAACCAAACAGAGCCTGTACCAACCTTCTTTTTAAAATGTCCTCATCCTAGAGAAAAATATAAGGGCTTATTTTCAACTATTTTCATGGGAATTTTTTTCTCTAACTTTCCATCTACTTTCTATCAAGTTACTTTACTCCTCCTCTGCCTTGGGTTCCCCTTTCTCCACTCTCTGCTAATAGGTTTCCATACTTAGTTTTTGCATCGTTTACAACTATACTTAGGTGGTGGTATGAAGATAACCCGGCTGCCACATTTATCATTTCCTTAATGGCCAGGGTTAATTTGGCTGAATTGGTAGGCTGAGTTAACTGTCCCCTCCTGTTCCAATAGATTTTTCTCCTAAAGGTCTAAACTGGGTCAAACAGGACAAAAAACCTTGCCAGATTAAGGATGGTCATGTTTTAATCAAGGAGTAACCTGTTCTAGTTCTCTGATTTAATTGTGTAACTTATAACATGAATCAACAGGAATATTCTTCCCTTCTCTGACCAAATTCTCTTTTCCACACTTATCCACAGGAGGATAATAGAAATATAAACTGTTCTCTTTCATCTATGAGCTTTAAGGCCACACATTACAGTACCTAGACTATTTCAGAAAAGAGATAAACCAGCAATGCTCCTTGAAAGAACAAGCACATGATGGGCACTCTAAGTACATGTTTTTAATGAACTAATACCTAATAAGAGCTATATATGTAGAGTTTACTATGTGCCAGGAACTAGTCAAAGTTGCATTACATGCAATATAGCACATGGATGAGAAAACTGACACCCAGGGGAGACAAGTAATTGATCAAGTCATTCACACAGCTGTAAGTGATGGAGCTGGAACTGGAACCTGGAAGGAATGACTCTAGAGTCTATACATACAGAGTGAGTGGTAAAGAGTATGTACTCTGAAGCCACCTGTCAAGGTTCAAGTCCAGCCTCTGCCACTTACTAGAGAATAACAGCAATACTTATATGAAAGGATTACTGTGAAAATTAAATAAGTTAATGTGTGTATAGAAAGCCTTAGATCAGTGCCTGGCACACAATTAATGCTATCTAAGTATCAGCTATTATTAATTTAAATAGACTACCTCCCAAACAAATGAATCAATGTACCTGAGACTTTCCCTAAGGAAGGAAATTGGAGCTTAACATTGAGAGATGTGTAACCAATCTGCATAGGAACTTTCTGAGTACATTGACTACCTGCTTCTGACCAGTATTTCTCTAGCAAGAGTACCAAGAGCAGCTCTATCGGAGGGCTGAAATATAGCAAGAAAACTCATATGGCTGCTCTGCATCTGTTCTAGTAATAACACATTTTTATAATTCATGCAATTTTATGAAAGATAGAAGCCTTAATAAAACATATTATCAGAGTGCTGCTTTTCTAATTTATAAGATTTAGTGCAGGGGATCTTGGTATAATTCCAAGTTAGAGCTCTACAGTCTGAACTCACGTTTCACTCAGTGTATGTGTAAATTTATTCATGTAATGAATAAACTGTTTTAGCAGGTCATATCCTTTTCAACTCAATTGTGAAATCTGTTTAGATGTGTTTGTTTTTCACTAGATCCTCCACTAGATCATAAGTTCTCTAAAGGTGGAGACCTAAACATTTATGGAACTGAGCTGAATTTTCTGCTCCTTACCTCAAATGGGTATTTTAACTCTGTCCATGGATTATTTCTCTGTAATATCCTGTCAGCTCTGCTTCTTAGTGAACAGGCACCCAGCTGACCTTATCACTTCATTTCCTTTGGAAACGCCTTAGGCTTTTAAATTCTTTTCTAAGTTATCAAATTTAAACACAAAATGATTTCAAAATACCCTAAAAGCCTCAGACTAAGGTAATCTTTTATGTAGTAAATTATGGTACACAAAAATAACATATACTACATAGCCATTGAAAAGAAACTTAAGTCATAGCAAAAACTGAAAACCACAATTTCCATAAAAAAAAAAAGAATGGTTAAATAAATTATAGCCATACTAAGGAGAGAGAGAGAGAGAGAGAGAGAGAGAGAGAGGGGAAAATTACCCTCCCCCCCAAAAAAGAAAAATTTTATGATAAGTCGTAAACATCTGTACTCCATAAACAAAAGCATACTTCTTTAAGACAAAATAGAGAAAAGAGAGAGAGAGAGAGAGAGAGAGAGAGAGAGAGAGAGAGGAGAAAATTACCCTTCCCCCCAAAAAAGGAAAAAATTTTATGATAGATTTTTAAAAATTACACAAAAAATTTTATGATAGTTTTTAAAAACACAGGATAACATGTTTACAACTATGTAAAACTACTCATACACGCAGGCTAATATACAACTATGAAACAGTAGTAATACTAAAAAAGATTATAAAATTTTTAATTTTTTACACTTTCCTTTTTCTTTAGTATTGGTAATTATCTTTTTTTTTTTAATGAAAAAACAGTTCAAACTATGGTTATCATTTATGGTTCAGAGCAGCTCCTGTGGAAGTCCTTCCTAGTCAGTGGACTTCATTGCAGTAAATTGATGCCATGGGAACATTAAAGGCATACCTTTATCAAAAATGTGTCAGAGAGCCTTCCTCTTCTAGTCATAAAATAAGAAGACATAATTTACCCTCTAACCTTAACAGAAAACTAGAACTAAACTAAATATATGAAACAACAGTTATCAGACATTGGACAACATGTATACAGGACTGTGATCCATAAAGGAGGAAAACAAACAAGGTGAGCGCTACAATTAGTCCAGTTTAGCACACAGAGAAGTTTCTAGCCTGCAAGTTCAAGGAGGAGGAACCAAAACAGAACACAGAAGTCTTGCCAAACCAAAGACATAAAGTTCAGTATCTGGAGAGGCCAAGGCACCTAGATTTTGTGGGGCAGAGTATTATAGAGGAGGGAGTTTGTCAGGGAACTCTGGAGGTTTGTAGAGGGGCCCTCTTACATCTTTTGCTGAGCACTGATCAACGTATATAAAAGTGGAAAATACCTAAGGCTGGAATAAAGAACTACTGGAAAGGAGAAGAAATTGCGGTACTCATGGAGGGTTCCACACATAAGATAATTTGTGTTTCTACCAGTGAGACTGGAAAGACCTACTAATACCTGGGTTATCAGGTAGAGTCTATGGATGGGTACTACATTAATAATGGGCTGAAATTAGTTATATTAAAGGTTGCTCTCTCCACCTACCCTAACAACCCTTGAAAGCAAACCCTGAAACTGATTCCACATAACAAAATCATATTCCAGAACAAAGTCCAACATTATATAAAGAAACATAAAATCTAGCACATCATTAACATTACAACATCCAAAATCCAATTAAAAAATTGCCAGGTATTCAGAGAAGCAGAAAATTATGACCCATAAGCAGGAGAAAAATCAGTCAATAAAACAGATCTAGACATAAAAAAAGATGATGAAATTAGCAGACAAGGGCATTAAAACAGCTATTGTAAATATGCTCCATATGCTCAGGAATATTGAGGAAAATATAAACACAATGAGGAAGGAAATGGACATATTAAAATAGAAGTCCGAGTCGAACTTCTGGGGAAGAAAAAATCTTTCTGAAATGAAAAGTACACTGAATAAGATGAAATGAAATTAATGAGATTAACAGCATATTTTAAAATACAGAAGAAAAGATCAATGAATTTGAAGAAGAGAAACTAACTAAAATGAAATCTAAAGAAAAAAAAAAAAGAACAAAAAACCCACAAGTTTAGTGGGACACTGTACACACACACACACACACACACACACACACACACACACACACCCTCTCTCTTTCTCTCTCTCCAGAGGATTATAGCTAAACCCGAAGTCTACACAAGTCTATAACATTAAAAATGTCCAGGTAATTTTGTCCAGGTAATCCGAAATTACTCAATTTATAAAGGACCAGGACATACAAAGAACCAGAATATCCGATAAAACAGGAAAATGTAACAAATTGTTAAGAGAACAGATAAACAAATGTCTGAGATGACACAGATGTTAAAATTACCAGACTTTTAAAGCAACTCTCATGACTATGCTCCGTGAAAACATGGTAAACACAGTTGAACGGAAAGACAGAACTTCTCAGCAGAGAAATTGAAATATAAAAGAACCAATTAAAACATTTAGAAGTATATATTATATAAAGTTAAAAATTCACTAGATGGGCTTAACAGCAGAATGGATTGACACAGCAGTCAGTGAACCTAAAGACAGAACAACAGAAGTTATTAAATATGAAGAACAGAAAAAAATAAATAAGGCATCAGGACCTGTGAGACAATATCAAAAAGTCTAACGTTTGTGTTACTGTAGTCTAAGAAGAAAAAGAGAAAGACATTGGGGCAGTAAAAAATTTGCAAAATAGAATGGCTAAAAACTCCCAAATTTGGTGAGATTCAAGAAACTCAGCAAACACCAAACAGGATAAACTCAAAGAAAAGCCATTCCTACACATATCATAATCAAACTACTGAAAGCCAAAGGTAAGAATAAAATCCTAAAAGAAGGTGGAAAAATACAATATATTACAAACAGGAGAACAATGACTCAAATAACCATAGATTTACTTTCAGAAATCATGGAGGTCAGAAAAAGGGGAATAACATCTTCAAAGTACTTAAAGACAGGAATTGCCAACTGAATATTTTACATCCAGCAAAAATATATTTCAAGAATGAAGGAAAATAAAAAAATCTTATCACCAGGAGGACTGCTCTAAACAAAATGCTAAAGAAAATTCTTAAGACTAAGGGGTACAAAAAAAAAAAAAAAAAAAAAAAAAAAAAAGAAGAGAAAAGAAAAAGAAAGAAAGACTAAGGGATACCAGAAGGAAATTTTGATCTTCAGGAATAAAAAGAGCAATAGAAATAGAAAATATCTAGGTAAATTTAAAAAAAAAAATTTCCTCTGAAG